AGTTTACTGTTAAGGTCCAAACTACTGGGCTTGGGAAAACAATCCAAAAAAGAAAGAGAAATCACAAAACCTTTAGACAAAAAGAACAAATCACTGCCCAAAGAAAAATAATCAAACTGGCACTGGACTTCTTATATGTAACACTAGAAGCTAAAAAAATTAAACCTACAGGCTTGTGAGAGAAAATAATAACTATAAACCACAATTCCCAGCCAAGATATTCCATCTCACTTGTCCAAGAAAATTGAAGGTAGGCATGAATTCAGAGATCCTATCACCTAAGTGGCCCTAAATGAGGAATTTTCCTGAGGAAATTCTTTAACAAGACCTCAAGCCCAAACAGACATTAAGATAGGGCAAGATGAAGAGGATAAGAAACAGTCATGAGCAATGAAACACAATATTTAAATCTGTATTATATTTACACCTATTTACCTAAATGAGTAAGGATAGACTGTCAGGGAATCTGTATATAAGAGCAAATGTTGACTCTTGAAACAAAAGAGCATTCTTTATAGACAATTTAACAATATTAAATAAAAAATACTAAATTATCTCAGAAAAACCAGGAATTGGAGGGAATAGTAACTGAAATCATTCTAGGTTTGGAGATCCAAGATGGCAGAGTAGATAAACGCTATACTTGCCTCATCCCATGAACACATCATAATTACAACTAAATTATAGAACAATCAACCTGGAGAACCATCTGAAGTCTTGCTGAACAGAAGTTTTATAACTAAGGATATAAAGAAGCCACTTTGAGACTGGTAGAAGGGGTGGAGATGCAAAACAGGTTGGTCCCATAATCGGGAGATATCTCAGCCACAGACATTTCCCACGAAAAAGCGAGGGACCCCAGCTCCCCATACCAGGCTCCACAGCCTGGAGTACTGGCGCCAGGAAGAGGAGCCCCCACAAGTTATGTCTGTGAAAAGCAGTGGGGGTTCTTACTGTCTGGGTGGGACAGGAGGCTTCAGGAAAACCCAAGCATCCTCTTAAAGGGCCCGCGCAGGCACTCACCTTGGGCTCTGATGGAGGGACAGTGATACTGGTGGTTTCAGAGACATGGGGCGAAACTGAGTTGTGTAACTTCAGGGCAAGGAATGGAGAGACAGTCCCCATTTTCTCTGTGTGGGGTTGTCCTCCCATGCAGTTGGCAGGATAGTGCCATATTTCCTGTGTTGAGCCCGCCCCCCACAGGCCAAATCTGAATCTGATTGGTCTGGTGAGCTCTGCTGCTCCACCTTGCTGACTCACTGAGACCCTGCCTCACCCAACTTGCTTACTGCAGGAAGCTTTATCAGTGGCTAGACCTTACAGGAGCTGGCAGGTGGCAGCAGGCCTCAGAGTTTCCTGGTTCTTGCAGAACTACCCCAGACCTGGAACTGGCGGCAGCTGTCCTCGAAATATCCGAAGTGGTTAAAAACAAAGACCTACAACCAAGGGTACTGTACCCAGCAAGGCTATCATTTAAAATCAAAAGAGCTTCACAGACAAGAAAAAGCTAAAGGAGTTCATCACCACCAAACCGGTATTACAAGGAATGCTAGAGGGACTTCTTTAAGATGGCAAAAAAAAAAAAAAGAATAATAAAAATGGCAATAACATATCCATCACTAATTGCTTTCAATGTAAGTGGTTTAAATGCTCCAATCAAAAACATAGGGTGACTGAATGTACAAGAAAACAAAGCCCTTGCATGTGTTGCCTAAAGAGGCTCACTTCAGATTGAAAGTTACTCACAGACTGAAAGTAAAGGGATGGAAAAAGTTATTTCATAAAAATGAAAAAATGAAAAGCTGGGGTAACAACACTTTACCAGACAAAATAGACGTTAAAACAAAGGCTATAACAAGAGGCAAAAAAATCCCCCAGTAATCCCACTTCTGGGATTTATCCAAAGAATCCCACTATTTATCCAAAGAAACCCAAAACATTACTTTGAGGGGACATATGCATCTATGTGTTCACTGCAGCATTGTTTACATTGGCCAAGATGTGGAGGCATCCCGGGTTTCTGTTGATGGAAGAATGGATAAAGAGGTGGTAGTACATATATACAATGGAATATTGCTTGGCCAGGGAAGGGAATGGGTTCTTGCCATCTGCGGCAGTAGGGATTGACCTGGAGGGTATTGTGTTGAGTGGAGTATGTAAGACAGAGAAAGACAAATGAATGTGATTTCACTTATATGTGGAATCTAAAGAACAAAATAAACAAGCAAAACAGAAACAGAATCACAGATACAGAGAATATTTTGATGGCTGCCACATGGGAGGTGGGTTGAGGGGGTGGGTGAAAAAGGTAACGAAATTATCGTATTTCCCCATGTATAAGATGCACCTTTTTGCGAAAAATTTGGGATCTAAAAACTGGGTGCGTCTTATCAAGTGGTTGTAGATTATTTTACTTGCATTTCCCACTTTTTTCACACTTGTTTTTGTGCTCATTGTTGTAGTCTTTTTACTTGCATTTCCTGCTTTTTCGCGCTTGTTGTCTTTGCTCTCATTGTTTCACACTTGTTACCGGTATATTATGGTAGGTTACGTTTTGCCATGTTCTGCCCAGAAATGGCTCAGAAAAGATTTTCGTACAGTGCTGAATTCAAGTTAAAGGTGATCCAGTTTGCAAAAGTGAATGGAAATCATGCTGCTGAACGTAAGTTTGGTCCTCCTCCAACTGAGAAAACAATCCAAGACCGGCTATGAAAAGAAGAAACCCTACTGAAAACGCCATGGCAGAAGAAGGCCATGAGAGGCAATATATGAAGACAGTGATTCATCATCAGACACAGATGAGGACAAGCTAATGGTTGGGAGTTTTGACAGTGATGAGGAGTTGTATGAATTTTATGATGAATAAAATTTGAGTTCAATATCTTTAAGTAATACTTTTTTTTTTCAAATTTCGGACCCCAAAATTAAGATGTGTCTTATACATGGGAGCATCTTATACATGGGGAAATACGGTACAAATACCAAATTGATAGTTACAAAATAGTCATGGGGATGTAAAGTAAAGCATAGGGAATATAGTCAATAATATGGTAATAACTATGTATAGTGCCAGGTGGGTACTAGACTAGTCAGGGGGATCACTTCTTAAATTATATAAATGTCTAACAATATGCTGTACACCTGAAATTAATATAAAATAATATTCAATGCCAACTGAAAAATTTTAAAGGGGGGGAAAGTTGAAGGACAATGAGTGGTCAAAATTTCCAGGTAAAAACAAGTAAGCCATGGGGATGTCATGAACAACATAGGGAATAATATTGTGGTAGCTGGTACGGTGTCAGATGGTTGCTAGGCTTATCATGGTGATCACTTGTTTAGGTATATGAATGTGGAATAACCATTGTGCACATCTCAAACTAATATAACATTGTATGCTAACTATATTTTTAATAAAAATCTTTCAAAAAATAAAATAAAATTACTCTAAAACTTTTCACTTAAGACCAGGTGAAGGAGAAAAAATCATATTGAAAAATATTCACTGATCACATGCAGGCATGTGGGAGATTGGGGATAATTAGCAGGCACCTCTGGGAGGGCTCAAGCTGGCTGGTTGTTCGGATGCTCCAGGGCGCACCTAGGCGTTCCCTGCTCTCCTCACTGTCTTCATTTGTCTGGGGATGTGCTGCCTGTACAGGCCCTGAAATGCTCCTTGATCATATAAAAGAGCAGGCTGAGTGACATGAAATTGCCAATGATTGGACCATAGTTATCCTAGAATCTTTATATCACAGAGAGTGGAATATAATATTTTAGCCAAGCCAATATCCAAGGCTATCTGCCACAAACATCACATTTTTCCTTTGGTGTATATGTTACGTGGGAGATGTTAGTCTTTCTAGCAACTGATTTGCAGGCCAGCAATTGTTCACCTTGGGCTGAGGACTAACGTCCAAATGAATTTCTCCACCACAGCTGCTGCAGCTGGTGAGTACTTGTTCGTTTGCAGATTTTCAGGATTCAAGCTGCACAGATTTCAACAAATTTGGAAGGACAAAGGAATAAGCAGTCTCTCTTTGGAGAATTAAACAAATGGTTCCAAGTCATCAAGCAGTCTCTCATTGTCACAATATTTCTGTGAAAATGGCAATTCCCTACACTGTCAAATTCTCACAATGGTAGACACAAGATCCAAAATGAAATTTCCCACTTTATAAAATTTATGGGATGCAATTTAAGACGAATTTAATAAACTAGCATTTTATGTTGACTATAGAATTATTTACAGTAACATAATATTGATAAATTGAAAATAAACAAAACTTCCAACAACAAGATTGGTTAGATAAATAATAGCATCTTCCAATTTTTTTAGAATTGCAAATCCCCTTAAGTGGTTTTAAAGTATTTCCAGCAATTTTGAATGGCATGTGAGAAAGAATTGATTTTATATTAAAAAAAAGTTTTCAAATATTTCATCAATATATTAAAGATTATGTCATAAAATTTCTTTAAATACAACAGATGCAATCAGGTCTGAGACATTATTAGTTAATTAAAAATGATCAAGTAGATAGGGAGTCTTAAAAAACAATGTATATATACCCTAAATATTTTATTTTAATATAACACATTTACATGTAGTTTCATTGAAAATATTTTCATATAATACCAAGGCACGATTGAAATTCTTACATAAGCCACATTCATGATGCATTAGTTACAGTTGCACTTTTAGTTTTCTTAAATTGGAGGATGAAAACTGTATATTTTATGTGTAAAATCCTCAAAGATTTTAAAAATAATCTTGTCTATTCCTTTGCAGACCACTGATATAGACCAAGCCCACAAATTCAGTTAAGTGATAATCCTCTGTACAGTCTTTCTCCCATTTAACTGAGCCCTGCTGTTTATTTTATTTATTTATTTATTTTAGCTGAGCCATCCTGTCACCTGTTGGCAGCTCAGCGGCAGCTCAGCTCAGGCCGGACTCCAACCGCTGTTGCTCAGAGCTCAGACCTTTGAGCGATCTCTTAACCAACTGAGCCACTCAGCCAGCCCCCTGCTGTTTATTTTAAATTAAGCAGGAAAAGCATAAATTGTTGTCACATACATTTTTAAATGACATATTGTGTTTGGTTTAGGGATTGAATTGCATAACATAGAGAGGAAATTTACATATTAATTATTAGGAATTAAAACAGCCAATCACTTTATTTTTCTGACTATAATTTCTTGTGTTGTCTTTTTTAAAATTTCTTGTTTCAAAATGACAAGAAAAAAAGTTTCAGACCCTCAACTGCAAAACAGTTTTCTGTCATTAACACTTTGTAAATGTGGTTAGACTTTATTTCTGATCAATGAGAAATTAACTCCAACATACTCATAAGATATAACTGTCACGCTTTGTTTCTCTTTACCACATGGGCTTTCAAAGCATCCTCCAGATCTCAGTGTAATGAATAGAAACTGATGAGATGAATTCAACTTCCTGAACAGAAAAATCTGGAGGTGGACTTGCAAAACTGGTTGCACCTGACCTTCAGGGTTCATTTGCCCTCTCAGTCCCTCACCGAAGGCCAGTGACTGAGAATAAAGACAATAGGAAGCACTGTGCTGGGAAAGTGAGCATGGCAGCTCTGCCCTCCAAGGCGTTCAGACTGTTCTGCTTTAATGGGGGAATGTTTAAGCCATTTTACTTGACAAGTTTATAAATACAGAAATGAAAACATGTGTTCTGACTGTCCTTAACTATTGGAACGTCCTAGAAACATAATAGAGGAATGAAACAATGTTATATCATTACGAATGACACTGTAGAAGTAGATTTATTTACATGGAAAGATATACTGTTGAGTGAAAAAAGCGAGTTATAAAACAGCTTGTGTGGCATGAGTCCATCTTTGCAAGGAAGAAGTGTTGAAGTACACATAGCAAAATGTTCCCAGCAGTTATCTTGGTGGGAGGGAAAAAAAATGTTGGATTCCTGGTGTTTTTTGTTTCTTATGTTTTTTCAGTATTCCTTATTATGTATTACTAATGTAATTTAAAATGAGGCAGGTATTATTTTTAAAAACCAAATACAAGTGACACAGACAGACCATAACTGTCATCTCCCACAGTTTATTTTAAAATAATGCCCTTTATTGATGTCCTGAGACGTGAATTACATGGTCCTCAAGAAGAGGCGGAGTAGACAGGTTATATGGGTGCTAAAGTCATCTATCGACTGACACACCATGGCATTACACGTCTTCAGAATGCAGCATTTATCGTATAATTGCTCCTTCAAATACTAGCTATTTGCTGATAATGGAATAACAAACAGAAACAGGCACTGGTAGTCACTATGAATTACTGGTAGTCACTTTAGCATAAATTACTATAAATTACTGATAGTTAATAATTTCTCTAATAAATACTCTGATAAATTCTATTTTTGTCCATGATTACAAAATTACTTTTGCAAACAGAAGCATCTTACATTGTATATTAACATGTGTGAAATATCTTTAAATACACCTTTTTAATATTATTGTAAATATAAGTTATCCATAAGGTACCCCCCCCCCAAAAAAAAAGCTGAAGGATTTACTAGGTATCAAATTATCTTCTATTTGACACAGCAAGACCATCTTTCATAAGGAAATATTGTACAGACAGGCATTTTTCAGTTGCCTCCAATTAAAATGATTATAGAGGTATTTACCTAATCTTGTCTTCCGGACTCACAACTTCCTGAAGGTTGTGGTTTCATTTTAGTTGAAATACCCTGGTGGTTGTTTGAAACTTTATGCTTTAAGGATGAGAAAACCAATTATGTTATTTCAACACATAAAAGTAGCATGATCCCGGAGGCTATATTTTAGAAATCTAAGTTTTTCCCATTATACTCAATATAAATCATCCTCAAAAAAAGAAACAAAGATGATCATGAAAAAAAGTCACATTTACATTTGAAGTTTTTGGGAATTCTTTTAATGTTGCAGGGTTGGGGTTGATAGCTCATTGGAGGCAGAGATGGTTCAGACACAAACTTCATCCTCAGTTAATGCTAGTGCTCTGTGAAGGTGGCAAGTGCTTAGCACCTCTGAGCCTCTGTCTTTCCGTCCTCAACCTTCAGGTGGTTTTGTGAGTAGTCATGTACTTAGAGTTTTACAGCAGTTCCCAGTATCCAGGTGTTCTACATCTTTGTCTCTCTTGCCATCTGTTGAAGTGGAGGGCCTCACTAAGAAAATACACGGTTGTCATTTTGAGTGTGTTACTCCTTAGCATGTTTAACTCTATACATGTACAGAGGTTTTCAAGCCAGGGTATCAATGATACTGTTCACATCTATATTTTAACTCAACAAACATGTCATTCAAGCCACTATAAATGAATAGGTAAGAGCATAAGATGTCAAGAGAAAGAATAATTTGGGTATTTATCTAGTTCAGGAATTTAATTTACAATAATTATAAATTTGCATTTAATGTATTTTTTTGGTCATGTAAATGTTATTATTTGCAGAAATCTGAATGATACCCAAATCTTTTCCTAAATGTCCTAGTACAATCATTTTACCTGCTCTAATTAATTTTATGAGATTGGCACATACCACCACAAGATAATCTCCATGGTAAAACCTCGGGACAGATGAAAAACATCATGTTGCTCATCTGAGATTTTATATAAATCATATTCTATACACTTTATGGCATAGTCTAGTTTACACAGTACTTTTAAACAAACTATTTGGTTGGGTATAACTCCATGAAGGTGGGTATTCCAAATTAACGTATCAGGTAATGGAGACACAGAGAGCCTACAGGACTTTCCAGGTCACACTGTTAGAAGTAAACTCTGGTTCTTAAAAGCTTGGGTTCTGGAATGAGTTTTGAAAGAAGTCTCCCCTCCACCACCACCATCCTACCTCACTGGCTGCAGGAATCCTCAGTCCTACAGGCTATAGGAACCTAAGGCATCCATTTGCAACAACCCAAAGGGAATGTACAAACAGGAGGTGCCGAGGGGTCCTCAAGTCAAATAGGCACTCCCCCAAGCCACTGGTTGTCAGGAAAACAAGCCATCTCCTGGGCCTGTCCTCCTGCTTCTGGAAGATGTAAGGGTACATTGATTGATTCACCCACTAAAGAAATGCTTACATAGTACTTATGTGCCTTTCACTCGCTAAGGTATAATAAATGCTCCATGAACAGGACAGACTCATCTCCTGCCCCGTTAGAACTGAAATATCTAGTGGTGAAGATAACAACATATCAGGAAATTCCTACACAGGGTGGTTAAGTGCCAAGATGAGTAGTCCAGGGTGCCAACAGACAACTAAGAGAGGGGCACCAACCCTGGAAGTTTGGAGGAAGTGCTCTGAGTGGAGACATAAACAACAAGAAGGCATTAGTCAACTAAAATAGCAAGCAGGGGAGAGGGGAAAGAAAGAACAGCATGTGCAAAGACCCAGAGGCTAGGAAGAGTGTACTGAGTTTGAGGGACTGGAAGTTCAGTATGTGTAAATTGTGCAAGCTGAGATCCTTACCAGTCACAAAACGAAGTCTGGATTTTATCTTGACAATAAAAGGGGCTGGCAAAGGATTTTAAGCAGAGGACTGTTGTATAAATCTTAAGGAAACTGCTGAAGTAATGCAGTTGAATGATGGTAGGGTGATCTAGACTATGTAATGACAGGGGGAAAATATGAAATGGATGCAGGAGATCTTTAGAATATAGACTCATAAAACTGATGACTGATTGATGTGGGTGGTAAGGGAGAGGGAAGAATCAAAGTATAATTCTAATAGGATGAGGGCCCCCAAACTCTTTAGCTTGGGGTGCCCTCAGGGAAGCACAGCACTGGCATTAGGGGCCTCCTTCTTTCAGCTTACCTCCTCCCTGGGTCTCTTCCCACCCCTAGACTTACTTGAAGTTTTTCTTGTTTTATATGAAGGAAACCATACTTTACTTACCGTGTTTCCCCGAAAATAAGACCAGGTCTTATATTAAGTTTTGCTCCAATAATCTACATTTATTTATTTATTAATGTACAAAAATCTACATTTATTCAAGCAGTCATGTCTGGCTGACGATTTTAACTGGGGCTTATGTTTGAGGTAGGGCTTATATTACGAGCATCCTGAAAAATCATGCGAGGGCTTATTTTCCAGGTAGGTCTTATTTTGGGGAAAACACAGTAGTCCTGAGAATTAGATATTGCTTCCTTAAGCTATGTGAATGAAACTGTAATTCAACCAACTTCAAGATATTGCTTTACTCCTTCACAACAGAAAGAAAATTAACACTAAAGAAAACCCCACTAAATATAGAGCATATGAAGCATACAGATCATTACATAATGCAGACCCATGCCAATTTGTCTTAGAGGATACTAAGAGGGTGGACACAGACAAGTGACAGGAACAAAAAGGAAGGGTTTAATTTGGCACATACTCATTAACATAAGCTGGGAGGTACTCATAAATTAAAGACATCTTTACAATGTTTGAAGGATGCTAACTTGATAATATCGAAGGTAGTTAAATCTTCCTTTTTTTTTTTAGCTGGCATAGCTAATAATCATTTAATTTACTCAAGAACCTCCAGTCCATGAGGTCAGGCAGTCAAAGAAAAACTTGAGACATATAAGAATGTCATGACTGGGGGGAATGAATGCTTTTTCACAAGATTTACGTTAAATGAATTACTAGAATATGTCATCTGCTTGGTTGTAGGACATGTCTGACTCCACGACCCCAATACCTTCATAACTGTAGTTTCTATCATTTGAAGTCACATCACTTTTACTCTTCTTCCTTTTCAATGGCTTTCTTCCTTGCAGGTCAGACAGTTCACACATGGCAGAACTCACAGGATTAAGTCCTTTGGCAAATGGAACCTCAACCCCACTTGGTTCAACTGAATCTGAGTGATTCGCTGGGGGTAAAAGTTGGTCACTCCTTAGCCTTTTTCTTATTTCTTCTTCTTTAATCTGAAACACAGTATTAAAGAATGAAAGGGAACCCAAACAATGTTCTCCAAGTTTTCGTTAATATTGCTTATAATTAACATTGATGGCTTCTGTATTTCATTATTCAGCCATTTAACAAACATAAGTTGGGGAATTACTGTTGAAAAGGACAAGACACACTCCCTGCCCTCAAGGCATGTCTGTCCAGTCCCTGTGCTCTGGAAGGCTGAGCAGAGAGATGGGAATGAAGGCAGTCCGAGCAAGGCTGTGAAGGCTGGTTCTGGTGGAATGACTGACACAGGGTCATGGGGACCACGTGTGTGAATGCTGCAGGAGCTGTCTGATGGTCTGTGCGGCCTCCCCTCCAGATCCCATCTTCCACCCTCACCCCTCCTCTCACCCTTGGGCCCAACTGAAGTTTTCTTTTTTCTTACGAAGAAAACTCCATACCTTACTTAGCTCTGAGAATTGTATATTACTTCCTTAGGCCATATGAATGAAACTGTAATTCAACCAACTTCAAGATATTGCTTCATTCCTTCACTGCACACATACAAAAAATTAAATATACAGCATAAGAAGCATACAGATCACAAAAATAATTAATACAAATCCACACAATTTGTCTTAAAGCCGCTGATAGGAAAGGTTGGACGTGAGCTCATTTCAGCAGGTAGCACCCCCCACACACACACACATACACACTCAGGTACCTTCCTGCGTCCCTCCACCGCCTGCATCTTCTCCTCTAGGTCCTTCATTGTGAAATCTTTTACTTCTTTTTTGATCTTAAGCTTTTTCAGCCTGGTTGGTGGCTTTCTCAGAGGCTTCTCAGTCGTGTTCACCTGGAGGAAGACACTTTTTAAAACGGAGAAACAAGCATATTCCCTGTCAGAGAAGAAAGAGAGGAGGTGGAGTAAACACAGTTTAAAATGTAAAACCTAAAAATCTCAACTTTCCAGTGGCAGATTTAAAAAACAACAACTGGTGAAAGCTGGTAACAACAGAACTGATTCCTAAAGGTCTAATTCTCCTGGTAACAATAGAACTAATTCCTAAAGAAAAAAAATCTATTAGATGCCTAGAAAAAACAGCTATTTCAAAAAACAAACAAACAAACAAACAACAACAACAAAAAACACATCATGACAGAATGCAAAGATGTCCTGAAACTGGAAGAGAATTCAGGAGAAAGGAAAAAAAACTTGAGAAAAAATACAAGATGGAAAAAGTGGTGAATGAGCAAGGAATTTGTGGTTCAAGGTAAAAGTTAAACCTGATGATTTTATAATATTCTACAAGCTACAGATGACTTTGATTTGGGATCATGATTAGTTTTTAGTACTTCTGGTTTTGTGTAGGAGAGAATTCACTCTGTGCTGGGCTGTGCTGTTACTACTTTACAAATATTTTCATGATAGCATAAAAAAAAAACCTTCCTATTTCATATGACTGACAACCCTTTAATCAGTTCAAAGCAGTAATAATAACTTTCTGATTATAATTTCTAGTTACAAAGTAAAATTGTTGTAAAGGGTTTATAAAGAAAGTTTTATTATATTTTTTCTTTTATAAACTAGGTTTTTAAAAGGGTACATTAGTTATGAAAAATTGAAATGATACATAAATAATCTCCAAATACTCTGTTTAGCCACCTGGCCCCCAATCCCACTCATCAGCATGAACCATTTTAAAGAGTCTGGTGTGTGTCTTTCCAGGAATTCTCTATGCATATATATTTACATACATATATATGTATAATACATGTGTAATGTTAAACAAACATAATAGGATTATACCATATATACTGCTCTGTAATTTGCTTTCTTCACTTAATTTTTTTTTTTAAAGATTTTTATGGGGAATTGAGGGGATGGGAACAGCGCTGGGGAATTGGGGGAAGGGGAACAGCCAAGTTGCTGTCTTTTTGTTCTTCAGTCTAGTTGTGGAGGACGTCGCTTCACTGGCCCAAGTTGGCACCATCATTGCGCTCTTCCCGGGTGAGGCAGATCAGTCACCAGCTTCTGGACGGCTGCTCACTGTGGCTGCTGGACGCTCATGCTGGCTGCTGGCTACATACGGTAGCCCATGGCAACCCACTGCCACAGGGGCTGCAGCCTACGCCGTCGCCGGCGACTCACAGCAGCCCAGCTCCAGGTTGAGCTGTTGTTCAGCATCTTAGCTGTGGAGGGCAGTGTCACTGGCCCTTATATGTGGGATCCGAACCGGGGCCCTCTGGTGTCCCAAGCCAGCTCTCAACCATCGCGCCACTCGGCCAGCTCTCTTCACTTAATTTTATATGGACGTTTTTCTAGGTCAATATACATAGATTTATTATGACTGGGGAAGGTCTTAATGAACTCCAAGGCCTCATTATAAAATGAACTGAATATTGTCCTAGATAATTTCTCTAAAGACTTTTAAAGATAAAAGAGCTATTGATATTCATTGCAATATCAAAAAGACTGTCTCTTCAGACTGCAATACTGCAGGCACTGAGAAAATAAATCAAACAGAGAGACACTTTAGCACAGCAGAAAAAGGCAACAGACCTGGACTCAGACAGACCTGGGTTTGAATTCCGACTCAGCCACAGTGTGGCTTCGCATGAGTTCTTAAATTCTGTAAGCCTTGCTTTTCCTATCTGTAAAATAGGTTTAATAATACTTTTTCACAGGGTTATTATTATTTTTTTTTTAAAGAAAAAAGGAGGGAGAGTAGGTAGTGGCCATTCAGGAAATCATAATTACTTTCATTCAGTGAAAGCAGTGACTTTTCCAATGACAGCACGCAGGATCATAACAAGATACAGCAGTTGTCACAGAGAGCAGGAATGAGCATTGGATCCGGCAGGTGGCCTGGGCTTTAACCCCGGTCTACCACTAACACTCACTGTGTGACCTGAGACAAAGCACCTTTTCTTTTTGTCCTCAGTTTTCTCAAATGTAAAAAACATGGAGGGGACTGAGGAGGGCTAAGGTTCCTTCCAGCTTTAAGATCTATGATTCTTGGAAAGTCTTTTAAAGGGAAAACATGTGTCGAAGTTTTGACTCAGTTACAGCCTTGAGTCAGTTTTATGTGGCAGAAAGTTGTTTACCACATAAAAACTGTGGGATGTTTGTCAAAGCAACTTTCCCCTCTCCCATCATTGTATCATTGCTATGACAATTTGCTCTAAGGCTTCTTATTGGCAAAAGCCATCCGCTGACAAGAGGGACATATTTGCCACGGAGGCTCAACTAGAGATACTGTGAAATCAGTATGAAAACAATTTTTTAGGGAAGTTCACTTATCGAGGGCTAAAAGAAAATGAAATGGTAATCCAAGATCCTATAAAAGGAAGGCTCATTTAGGCTTTACATAGGAGTCTAAACCTTGACTAAAATGATTACATCAGCAGTTCTGAGAGAATTTAGGATTTCCAGTCTGGGTGGACTCTTCCTGTGGCTTTATCCCAAAATGATGCCTATGAAATCATGTCCTTCCTTTCCTTGTAGAAGTTAATCCTACCTGTGTAGCCACATCCTTTCTTGAGTTTGACATTTTAAGTAAAAGCACTGAAAAGCCTGAGGAAAGATATCTGTATTTTTTACCTCTGAATTTAATGAATTCAGGATTTATCAACTGTTGGCACTTAAAAATGAAAACAATGATCACATTATACTTAGAGAGGTGCTATCCATAAAAACTCTTTAAAAATCAACTTTAAAACCTATAGAAGCTACCTGTTCAATTACTTTCTTTAAGAACGCCATCAGGACCAGCTGAGTGGCTCAGTTGGTTAAAAGTTAACTTAAGAGCATGGGCTCTGAGCAATAGGGCTGCCAGTTTGATTCCCACATGGGCCAGTGACGCTGCGCCCTCTACAGCTAAGATTGTGAACAACAGCTCGACCTGGACCGGGGCTGCCGTGAGTGGCCAGCGACGGCGTAGGCTGCAGTGGGCTGCAGGGAGCTACTGTCAGTGCCCGGCAGCCAGCGTGAGTGGCCGGCAGCCAATGAGAGCTGCTGTGAGCTGCCGTGAATGGCTGACCAATGGCCAGCGACCGATTGCTTCAGCCGGGAAAAGCGCAATGATCACAATACCAACATGGGCCAATGGACGTCCTCCACAACTAAACTGAAGAACAAAAGGACAGTAACTTGCCTGTTCTTCCCTGATTCCCCAACTCTGTTCTCCACCCCCAATTTCCCAATAAAATCTTTTTAAAAACAGAACACCATCAGAGAACTGCCACACCCAAAGATGTTTTGATAAGATTTGGGTTTTGTTTTTAGCCAATCTAACTGTATAGATTACTTCTTACAGCTACTGTGTGTTCCTCTGAGCTTTCCTGATTAACTATTGACCTAAATTTTACTCTAAATTGTAACTGAATTAAATGTAACAACCTGGCTAAGAAGGGGACAGATCTTTGTCTAAAATTCCCTTGAATATACTATTGCTCTACATACAAAGTCTTGTTTTTAAAGTATTCTCATATTTACTATTATGTTTTCCTCCATAATATTTTATTTGAAAGTTTTTTAAGCAACAAAAAAAAATAGTGTTTACATGTCTGACTGGATTTATCACATTGTAGAACCTGGACATCAATGTCCCTTTTTGACTATCCTTTCTGTTTCCCTTGACTCTTTGATTTTTTTTTTTTTAGCCAATTTTATCGTGTGTTTTTTTCTAAACAATTATTAACTATTAGATAGTTAAAAGTATTAGTGTGTAATAATACCTCCATTCTTAATATGGTTCTCCTTTCAGTCCTTCAGTATTCATTCTTGTGTTTTCACATTGGCCTCATAACTTTCCCCGAAATATGCAAGACACCTGGTGTCTGACACACATGTCCTCAGCTACACATGAATTGAAAGAGACTTTACCTATGACACTGAGCAATTACATCCTTCATTTCCATACTCTTCCTGGGTATAATCTTGTACCTGAAAATGTTCTATTTTCAGGAATACTTTAGAATTATCTTTCACAATGAGTGGGGGATTTCAACTTCAAAAGCTTTAACCCTTCCCAGCTTTATGATGAACCTGAGGCCTTGATGTTTGTTGAAACACCAGGGCAGTGCTTCTCAACCTGGGCTGCCTGAGAGGACCATCTGGGAGCCTCTCAGGTGCACTACACCTGCCCCCCCCCTCACCTGCCACTGATCCTGGTGGGGCCTGGGCACTAGGAGTTTTTTTTTTTTTTTTAAAATTTTTTTTTATTGGGGAATTGGGGGGATGGGAACAGTGCTGGGGGATTGGGGAAGGGGAACAGACAAGTTGCTGTCGTTTTGTTCTTCAATCTAGTTGTGGAGGACGTTGCTTCACTGGCCCAAGTTGGCACCATCACTGCACTCTTCCAGGGCGAGGCAGATCAGTCGCCGGCTTCTGGACGGCCGCTCACTGCGGCTGCTGGCCACTCACGCTGGCTGCTGGCTACACACGGTAGCCCATGGCAACCCACTGCCACAGGGGCTGCAGCCTACGCCGTCGCCGGCGACTCACGACAGCCCAGCTTCAGGTTGAGCTGTTGTTCAGCATCTTAGCTGTGGAGGGCAGTGTTCACTGGCCCTCATATGTGGGATCCGAACCGGGGCCCTCTGGCATCCCAAGCGAGTTCTTAACCATCGCGCCACTCGGCCGGCCCTGGGCACTAGGAGTTTTGAAAGCTTCCTAGATGATTCGATTGTGTAGCCAGTTAAGAGCCACTGCACTCGGCAATAAAAGGCACAGCTGTGTGTTACTACTGGCCTATTGCAAGTCTGACTTATGTTGGGACATATTGGCCTAATTCCAATGCTAAAACAAAACAAAACTCACAAAAAAGACAAAACAGCTGTGTTATTCTTGCC